TTTTAATTATATGATAAAATTTTTAATATTGTTCTCCTTAAGTTCCAGAAATCTTTTAGTACTGCTAAACGTCAGCTAATAACAAGATTGTTTTAGAATTTATTTATTAATTTATTATTAAAATTATAAATAATATAAATCCCAAAACTTAAGCAGTTAAATTCCTACTTCACGACACTATCCCTGTATAATATGCATAGTGTTATACTCCTTCCTGTTGGAACAAAAAGAAATTTTAAATATAAAAACATAAAATCTGATTCTTTTGATGTAAAATTAAATAAAATTCACATTTACCAATTATTTATACATTTAAATCATAGCATAAATTTTGTATCACAATAATAATTTTTAATTTTATTTATAAAAAATAATTCAATAAAATTTAAATATTTTTATTAAAAATAAATAATTCAATAAAATTTAAATATTTTTATTAAAAATAAATAGAAATCATAAAGAAAGAGAATACAATGACATTTAAGAATTACAAATTACTAACATATTAAAATTGCAAAATACATAAAAACTTTAAAATAAACACGAAGAGAAAACGCTATGCTTGTTAACAATTTGGCCTAGTGCTATTTGCCAAAATAAAAAAATATAAGTGATTATTAATTTATTTTTTATTTTCGTCTTTTAAAAATTTATAATATTTAGTAAAGTAGAAAAACAAATTTATCTATAAAAAAAAAAAAAATTTAGATAATAAGATTTAATTAAAAAAAAATTCAAAATTAATTTGTATTATATACACGCATGCTAATATTTGTATATATAATATGAGAATATATTTAAACATATAAATATGTTTTATATATTTTAAATATTATATATTTTTATCGGATGTATATATATATATATATTACTTCATATTCAATTAATTAAAAACCAAAAAAAAAAAATGGTACTATCAAATATAAAAACCAAAATATAAAACTTCAAATGAATTAATTGAAGAAAAAAGCGTTTAAAGCTTCAATTATAACTGTAACTATAATATATACTATAATTATAATTAATTTTTACAATTTTAGCTATATTCCGAGAGAGAAAGAAAGAGAGTAATCGGATGCAGGTGCAATCAACACAATATCATATTTTAATGCTGGATTGTTATGTATATATATATATATATATATACAAATTCATATATATTAATTAGCCGAATTCTATATTGCACTAGAATGCCTATATATTACTTGCCTATACTAAATAGCTTTTATATCAAAATGTATTAATTGATATAATAAAATGTAAAAAATATATAAAAAGTTATTTCACAAAGAAATACTCAAATATCTTAATTAATTAATTTTTTTTTTCCTATTTTAATATTGAATATTTATATTTTTTAATATCAAGAATACTATTTAATATTCTTTATCCAATATATTTATAATAATATTTAATATGTATAATATTATACACGAATTCAACAATATTATTTAAACAAGCATACATATTAATTATAGAAAAAATTTCATTATAGTCATTATTTTAAAATTATTTTTTATATTTTAAATACATTAATTCTCTTATATTGAGTTATTTTACCAAAAAAAACACAATAAATTTTCTGTTATTATAAAACATTGCACATAGATAATATATATATATAATATACATATTTGTGATATTAAAAAAAAAATTGTAAAACTTTAAATTTGATTTTTTAAATAATAAGAACTATTTAATATGAAAAATATTTATAATTTTATAATTGAAATTTATTATTTAAATTTAGCTTGTTTTTTAGTTGAAATAAAAACTAATATTTAATTTTATATACATATCTTAAACAATTATTATGTTTATAAATTTTTATTATACTCATATACCTGCAAAAGATACTGTTATATTTTGATAAAATTAAACATTTCTTTTTATTTATTTCTTCAAGCATAATGTGTAATTTTGTATTTATAAACACCATACTGAAAACCTAATATAAATCATCTTATATATTGTAATATATAATACGAAAAGAAGAAATATTAATAAATAAAAAAAAAAAATAAACAAGTTCACGTCACGGGTTACTCTTCAAATAATAAAATTATATAAATTTTTACAATAATTTTTATTATATATAATTATTTATTTATTTATAATTATTGTTTTCATACTTTTTAAAAAACAAAATGACTTGCCTTGTTGTTCTCTCAAAAAACAAAGAAAAAATTGCTGTTTAAAATTTAATAGTACATTATTATAAAATATGTTTTTAAAAAGAAAAATACAATAAAAAATATTAAAGAAAAATTAACAAAAAAAAAGTATAAAAAAAATTACATACATTATAATGATACCTACATACCATATTAATATTTATGGTACACATAATAAATATATATATATATATATATATATACATAAATATATATAATATATATAAAACTATTATATGAAAAAAATGATCTTTAGATCTTTGAATAATTTAAAAAAATTAAAAATCTTTAAAACAAAAATTAAGTATTATGATTATAATTAAGGAGGAAATAAAATGTTCATTGACAAACATATCATTTAAGCTTAGAAAAAAACTTGACCATTTTATTATAAAAAGAAAAAAAAACAAAATTTATATAGATATATATATATATATATATATATATATATAAATAAATGTATAAATTACAATTAGTATATTCATATATATACATATATATATATATATATATATAAAATTATAACTTACTCAATTAGTCTATCTATGTAGTAAAAGAAAAAAAATAAAAGAGAATAAAAAACCCAAAAAAAAAGAACAAAAATTATTTTAATTCAAAGGATAACGTAAACAAAGAAAAACTGTATGAAAATTTCTTCTTTTTTGTTTTTTATATTTTATATAAAATTCTATATTTTCATGCTAAAAAAGCTTTCCTTTATAATTTTAAAATTTTGAAATATTCAAAGCTAAAAGAAAATAATCTTCAAACTTTCTTTCTCTCACAACGTGTGAAATCTTACTATATGTATATGCATATATGCAGTTTGGGAGTATCGTGAAACTAAATATATATAAAGATGAAAAAAAAAGGAAAAAATAATTCCAAAATTGGAAGTATTCCAATTAAGTAAAGCAAAATAATTAGCAGCAAAATTTTTACTAAAAAACAAAACAAAAAGAAGTTGGGAAGAAAATTATATTTTGAATTTAATTTTAATACTCGTTTTAAAATTCCTTCGTACAACGAAAAAATAAAAACTATTGAATTTAATTACACTTATTGAATAATTTCAAAAACACTGTTTTACGATTCATTAATACAGAATTAAAAGAATATTAGAGTTTTCCGAAAAAAACTTTTCAAAAATTGGCTATTTTTGTTATTCAAAATTAAAATGTAAAAATTTTTTTATTGCCAAGAATTAATTTTTTCTTATAGTAATTATTTTACTTTAAATTCAACTACCTACTTAATTAAAACACTTAAGAAGATTAAATAAATTTCTCATACGTATTTTCTATTGTTTTAAATATAATAAAACCATAATATAATAATATGTAATAATCAATATTAAATAATTTGTAAAAACAGAATTAATAACATTTAATATTACAGTATATACTTATACGACAATATTCAATTAGATACGTATAATGTTTATATTAAAATAAATATAATAGTACCCAAATATTATAATATACGAGTATAAGATGGAAATATGTGAAATAAAAATAAATATTGCAAATGAAAACAAAGATAAAAAAAACAATATAGCGGGAAAATTGAGAAGATAACATATAAAATTACTTTATTAATTAAATTATATTAAAAAAAAAAACAAAAATAATAAAGAATGAAAATATAAACATAAATAAATATAATAATATTTGAAAAATAAAAGTTATTAGTTAAAACAAAATAAAATGAAACTATTAGTAAAATTCAATAAATATGAAAATTAGTTGTAAATTTACTTAATAAAATTAAAAGAACAGAAAAAAAAAATATTTAAGTACTAAAAATTAAATTAAAAACAAAAAAAAATTAAAAAAAAAAAATTTAATTTTGAAAATTAGAAAAAATTAAAATTGAATTAAATGTGAAGTAAAAATAAATACACACTCACACAAAAAACATGTTTATTTTGTTCCTTTTTTTTAAATTTATTAATAAAAAAAAATTTATTGAAAAACCAATTAATTATTAAAATTTATTATTATAATTCAAAAACTTAAAAAACGATGGAATATAATAATAAAGAAAAATCACTAAGAAAATAATTGTTTTATTTAAAAAAGAAAAAACTTTAATACATACCTTTAAATATAAATTAAACACGTTAAAGAGATATTTTAACGCACATATCTGCAAGTTAAGAAATTTCCAATTTTGGATGAAAAGAAATCGAGTTCGTGTTTTTGCGAATTTCTTTACTAGACTGTAAAATAACACCTGCATAAGCTTAAAAAATCGGGCTCCCATTGGTGCAGATTTTGTAGGAATAGGGACGAACCTGCCGAACATATTCTTTACGAATGCACGATACTGCCTGTCCAGTGTCACAATTATTTTTGACAAGGTTTCCTAAGCATTCAGAACCTGCTATCCTATTCCCTTGGGAATATCTCCAGCTTTATACTTGGAACAGTAATATTATATTACTGTATCGGCTATTGCTACAGTGTTCCAGGGGAGATGTCATCTTACCTATTCGGTGCTCTTGAAAAATCTGCATTCTACAACATAATAGTACATAAATACACATGTACGTTAAGTTAATTATTTCACTAATGAATAAACACATGTTGAATACCATTGCGGACAACTAACTGATTAATAAATTTACTTTTTTTTATAATAAGGTAAAAAGATTTTTTTTAAATCTTTATTGAAATTTAAGAAAGTATAAAATCTAATGTTTTAATTTCTTACATTTATTTACGCAATGAGAAATACTAATAAATATAAATATTTCTGAATAGTACTACATATGAATGAATTTCTAAGAACTAATTTTTTGTTATCAATAAAATTATTAAAATACTAAAAGTTATCGTTATAAAACTGGTAAATAGTTTTACTGATTTGTATCCCTATTGGACGATTTAATTTTCCACTTGGTATACAAGCCAGAAGCTTTTCTGCTTCTTCCCTATTTCCACATTTTTTATAAGCTAATAACAAAGATTTAGGTGTTGGATATATTTCCGTTATTGAAAGAGCTTTGTCAATTGATAAAGATTTTAATTGTAAAAGTTGTTTAATAAATATTTCTCGAACTTTAACATTCTTTGTTTTACTAGAATTTTCTTGAAATTCATTGAATTTCATTAAATCAAAAGATGAAGCATCCATAGATTGTGATTGTAAGGATTTTTTCTCTGTACTCAATAAAGTTTTATCCTGCAAATTTACAAAATAAGATAAATTATGAATCCAAAAAAAATGTAAATTTAATATTACCTTAAACATTTCAATTAAAATTTTTGTTAACGTTGTCAAATATGATAATGTTTCTCGATGATTCTGTGTAAATTGAACTTGAAAACCACTATGCAATTGTGTATTTACTGCTGCCTGCATTAGCGTTTGAATAGGGAGACCAATGTGTTGATTATTGCCATAGTTTTCTATTAAATAAATAATATTTTGTATTCCACTATTCCGTAAACGAAACTTTTGCTCATGAAATCGACCATCTCTAATACTTGTGGCAAAATCGTCCATACGTTTACGTTCAACGATATATGGCAAAATTAATTCATTGTTATGACTATCGCGGCATATCCATGCAAAATCACCAATTGATAGTCGCCGAACTTCATGGGAAATTTTTTGTTTTTCAAAATATAGTCGGGTTTCATCTAATATTGCTTTAAATTTTCTAAAAAAGGCAAAATCACATTTTTAATTTTAAATACTAACACATCATAATTAATATTTTAAATACATTTAAATAATAATTCATTTTTAAATACATACATATGTATGTATGTACATCCCTAAATATTTTCTAATTTATTCAAAATTTGAACTAATAACTGTGCAGGTACATATGCATACTTACCCAGTAGTTTCTTGGGTATCTACGATTAAAATTATTCTAAAATGGCCAGGACCCATTTTAATTTGAGTTTCGGTTTCGTCAACTACAAACTCAATTTTAGATTTGGTTTTAATTTTTAATTTGGAAGATTTTGTTTTTGACAACTTGTTTTTCCGAAGATTTTCCTGAATTTTATTAGCAACCTCTACAATATCATTTTTATAATTTAAACTCCTATTGAAATCTTCCAAATTGTTTACTTTGTATTCCGCTAATTTTTGATCCAATAAACCACATAATGTTGCCCCAAATCCACGTAATATTCCACATTCACGTCCGCTCATCAAAGGCAATGGAAATCTTTTTAAGGAATCCAAAGCTACTTTTAATGTAGTGGCAGATCGCATTTTTTTAATTTTAGCTTCTTCTAACCACTCACTTAACCACTTTGTGAAAAGAGGATTTGGTGTTTTTAATCTAACTTCTATTCTAGACATCACTTTTTATTTAGCTTGTTTAAAAATAAAATTAAGCGGCCGATTCTAACAACCACTAACCTTCAAACCAAATTCGCCTTATTTGCCTCACATTATACCATTTCCTAATAACATACACATATGTATGTACATTATGTACATAACAAATAAAACACAGTTTTTTTTTTAAAGAAACTTGTATTTAAATTGTCCTACACATTCGAAAAGCAATTTATGTTTCCATTTTTTGTTTTTCTAAGTGTGCCTTCAGCTGTTGATTAAAATCATCCTCTACATTATCATCATCCCAATTATCTTCCCAAACATTTACATCATCTTCATCCTCTTTAGAGGTAGTGAAATCTACTAAATAAAACATTTCAGAAAAAATCGCACATATATTTTTATAATTATACCTTCTGCTGGAAATTCCTCAAACTCATCGTCTTCTTCTAAAATTCCTAAATCTGTTTTTGCTTTATTGTCTTTTTCTTTATCTGCCATTTTAATTCCTTTTAAAAGATATTTTCCGCAAACCGATTATACTGCTAACAAATTCTTAACTATGACAAGCAAATTTCTTAGATGAATAATAAAATAGAAGGAATAAGAATGGAACTAACAATATCACAAACAAATATGAAATTTGACATTTAGTTTCGAATTCGCTTGATATTAAACCCAATACACCTAAAAGCTTTGGTCTTTTTTTGTGTTGCGCTCTAAACATTGAAGGGTTTCGGTTCACTGCATTACAGCGCTAAAATCAACAGTGGACGTGCTGAGCCAACCTATGCGATAAATTTTGAAATGATAATCTAAATATTCTAAATCATTCACAATTTCATATTTTTCATTACTTATTATGGAATGATAAATGACTGAAATGACAATAAAATCAAACGTACACAACCTTTTGGCAAATTTGTCCTTTTATGACACTCAAATATTAAACACCATAAATGGAGTCTTAAAATTATTCCAAAAATATGTAACAAACTTTGTTGAAAAACCGAATGCGGAATTCATGTTAAAATTTTTAAACTTAAACTAATTGGCGCCATTTTACTTTTAAAAAAATCTGACGGTACATCTAATGAGAATCTAATGAGAATAATTTAGTATTTTATTTTGCTGCCAAACAAAGTCTGATGTCAAAGAGTGTTCATAAATACAACTTTCATCAGAGTCAGAATAAATTTTATATACTATTATGCCATATTATATGTAAACATTATCTGAATTTTTAAAAGTCTGCATACGATACATTGGATATTTTGATTGGCCTAATTTAAACATTTATTGAAAAATCTTTTGAAATAAAATAAACCCGGCATAAATTGAACAACAGATTTAATCAAATAAAATTTTGTATGATTTTATCCAAATAAATACAAATTAACCATCAAACTTTATTTGATGTGAACGTACTAAATAGTAAAATTGTATAACACAGCCCTGCTGGCACAAACTTAATCTTGAAATTGACAATTGGCTATTTTATGTTCTATTTCGGTGAGAGTCAAATCAAAAGTACATACTTATTACTTATTAAAATATTTTTTACACATTAGATTTTATTTCGTAATAAAAAAAATATAATGAGTGGTAAGTTTCAATTTTGAAAGTTAATAAATTTAATTTCTTAGCAAAGTTAAATAATATTTTTAGCAAAAAATAGCTTATCTACATTATTAGGGAATTATATGTCGGACAGCGATAATGAAAATGACGATGTGCAAAATTCAAACTCATTTTCTAAAGAAATTGGCAATTTAATTAATGAAATAGGAGGAGAAACTTGTGATAAAAGAGAATCACTTCCTAAAACTGGTAAAAAATTGAATTTTTTGTTTTCATTTTAATTTTTAGTAATACATTTTAATTTTCGAGTAGATTGGACGCAATGTATGGATGCTAACACTGGTCATCCATATTACTGGAACATTAGCACAAAAGAGGTTACATGGGAAAAACCTGCACAATATGAAGAATTTTTAAATGAAATTAAAAGAGTTCTTAAGAAAATTCCGGATGATTCTTGGGCTATTGGTTATGCTGAAGGTTCAGAAACTCCATATTACCTCAATATATTTACAAGAGAAATATCGTGGCAAAAACCTGCAAATTTCAAAGAAAAGAAAAGGTCAAAAAAAATTAAGAAGAAAAAGCAAAAATATGAAGAAAAGGAAACTAAAAACATTAAAAAGAAATACCCAAAACACTTAGAAGGTGGAAGTGATGAAGACATGTAAGCTATTAATATTGCAAAACTAAAAATTTTTTACACTTAATATCTATTTAAATCGCTATTTAAATTGTAGAAGTGTAAAAAGATGATTTAGAAGATGAATATATAATTTTTATTTTTAGAAAAATCGAGTTGATAAATAGTTTTACCAATAAATCAGCAACAAACTCTGAAGACGAAGACAAAACTAAATCACAAAATAAAAAGGCAAGTAGATATATTTATTTACAAAAATACTATGGTGCTACAAAAGTTGATTGATTGTAAAAGTTAATGATGAAATTGCACACCTGAAATTAGTTTAAGTAACCTAGAAACATAATTTATCTATGTTACTTCAGTGATTGCAAGTTTTCAAGCAGAAACCTTTTTTTTTGTGATGACGAAATTGCCTTGGTTCGAGTTTTAAAATTAATTTAACAACTAAAGGTTATTTATTAAACATTTTAAAATTCACGGGGCACTGAAGATTATATTTGATATATTATACTGAAAAAAAAAACAAAGTGATTCCAAATAATGTATAATTATTTTTTTTAAGGCAATAAATTTAGATATTGAACAACAAACATCATCAAAAATAAATTTAGTAAGTTATACCTCAGATGATGAAGAGGAGGGGGGCTTAGAAAATAATGTTAATCAAAAAGAAGAGGATAATGAATCAAAATTAGCTTTAGATGTAAATGACTCGACGCAAATGTCTCAAAAATCGATCTCAAAAGGTGAAAAAACACAAATCACATCGTTCGCAAGCATCATTACTGGGGGTAAAGTTGATGTAGAAATTGATGATGAAATTAGTAAATTAAAAGAAGAATTAGAAAAAGAGTTTGTTAAAGAAACAAAAGAGGATGAAATAAAAACAGAATGTAGTTCAATTAGTTCAAACAAAAATAATACAAATGTAAGTTTTGATGAAAAAAATTTCAAAAGAAAAAGAAGGATAGAATTTGGTACGAATGCAAAACATGCACAAAATATTGAGGAAATTGAAAATGAAGATTCCAGACCATCATTCGTATTAACTAATTCAGATGATTCCAAAGAACTTATTTCCAAAGAAAGCTCAAACTCAGAAAAACTACTAGCAAAGAAAAAATTATATAGTAATTTTAAGAAAAGTCATGTTGAATTTGTGAAGTCAAATGAAACTAAGGATGATGATAATGAGTCAAATCAAGAACTTTTAGATGAAAAAATAAAATTTGAAAAGGAAATCCATGATTTGAGTGAATTAATATCGGATAAAGTAAAATTTTTATCAGTTGGTCATGCTGAAGTATCCGCAGTTCAAGCTATTCGTGTGCAATTAGAAGTAATTTAATTTTTTACTTTAAAAAGCACCAAATATAATATTCATAAATAATATTTTTTTTATTTTAGACTTTATTGGCAGCTTTCAAATCCTCTTCTCTATCATTTGAGTATTTTTTTAAATGGCTAAAAAGTACTTCTGACGATTTAATTAAATTAGAACAAAATGCTGCACCCGAGGGATGGAAATGTAAATGGGACAGGTATGTGAAAATATACCTTCTTTGATTTTAAATTTTAAAAACATAGAAAAGTCAATTTGAAACGAAAAAAAAAAAATAGTATTAGAATCAGTGATAACAATCAAGTGATATTAGTGATAAAATGTGATAAAAAATAATTAACTAACGAACATTACATTGTAAAAAATTATAATAATTATAATGAATATTATATTACCAATTATATCAACGTAATGAAAATGATCCAAATTGAAAAAGTATACTACTTGTTTTGCTAAAGAATATTTTATTTAAAAACAAAAAAAGTGTAATTGGCTTCTTAATTCTGATAAAACAAAAAAAGAAACTTCCCATACTTTCAAATAAAATATTCTTTAAATTGACTATGATCTCTTATATTAAGAGAAATTTTCTCAACCGGATAAATGCAATTTTTATTTCATTTGTTATTTTAAAACATAATTTGTATGCTAAAAATTAAAATCTTTTATTGAAATGTATTATATTGTGTACATGTACATGTAATAATAAATTTTGTAATTTATATACAAAATACATTTATATGCAAAATATATCGATATTAAAAAGGTCAAACAAAAATATTTCTATTTATATAGAAAGTAAGAAGAAAAGAACAAGTAAAAAACGAAAGCTTAATATTAAATTTCATTTCAAATTTTTTTAAAAATCAACGAAAATCTTTAAAATCACCTTTGAAAATTTAAAATTTTACAGCCTGGAAAAGATCGCAATTTTAGGCAATTTTTTACAATAATTGTACTAATATTTCAATTTTTATAAAATATTTTTGAAAATATTTTTAGTACTTATAGGGAGGAATGAAATTGATATTATAAAAATTAATTGTCATTGTTTTAAAGATTTTATTTAAATTTGTGAAAAAGCTTCTTTCATTTAAATAATTAAATTTTTTTCGGATTATAAAGAATTTATTAAGAAAAGATCTAAAAGAATGATCTTTTTTGCTAACGTGTTCGTTCTATTATACAATAAACTGAGGTTCCTCAAAAAATATTATATTTCGTAAGATAAATTCTAAATGTTTAAATCTAAAACAAAGGATATAACAATTAAAATTATTAACAAGTTAATAAATACTTTTTATTAACACATATTAAATAATATATAACTTCTTATTTTAAATCCTGGTTATTCTTATTTGTCTTCAATGTAATAAACTTACATGTTAACTTTTTAGTATATTTATATATATATATATATATTTTTTTTGGGGCATTCATTTATTAATTTTAATTATAATACATATGATTCTATTTTTATTTTCTAAAAACAATTTTTTCCATTTTAATTAATTTATTTTGTTATAATTTTGCCTGTACATTTTATATACATTATTTTTTATTGTCTTACCAATTTTAAGCATAACAAAAAATTTATGAAATTTTAATTTATTTTAACTGATCACTGATTTTATAATTTTTTTGTGTTTTTTATTTAGTACCTTAGTTTAACTAATAATTTAATCGATTCAAATACTATTATTGAAATAAAAATAATAAATAAATAACATAAAATAAATTACAGGTATTCCTTCCATTTTTAAAATAAAATAAATTTTGTTAATGTAATAAGTTGATCTTTTAATTAAATAAATAAAAAATTTTTCATAATAAATAATTGACACTCAATTTTGTTAATTTTAATGTGTAGAATGTCACATTTTTTCCATTTGTTTTTTTTTTTTTATATTATTAATTAACACTTTATAATAAAGTGTTATATAATATTTTAAAGTTGGTTTTGTGCAATTATTACAATTTTATTTTAATTTTTATTTTAATTATCAAATATATGTATAAATGTATATATATTATATATATAAATCAGGTAAGTAATAGTATCATAGCATGATGATGATGATACTAATAATTATTTTATATAAAATAGGATAATTTTATTTTAATTGTTTTTAATTTTTTATTTTCTCTCAATAATTTACAATAAATGTTTAATGAAACTAGTATATGATTTTCAATAATAAATATATATAATTTTCAAATTGAAAAATTATGCAAATATATTTTTAATTAATTAATGTAAAATCATTGTTCACTTTGTCTGCTTTAAGAATTTTTTCTTTAATTTATATTGTATCTAGTAATTTCTTACAAAAGCCTTAAAATTTTTTTTTAAATTTTAGTACAATATAGACATACATATGTATGTTGAAAAAAAATATATGGTTTATATTTATAATATAGCACTAAATATTACAAATCATTAAATTTCAAAAATCAATAAAATATTATATATTCACTTAAAAAATAAGGTTTAGCTTTTAATTAATTTATCGAAATAAATTATTGTACGAATATACATACATAATATATTTTATTTTTATTGAATGCATTTTTTAAAAGGCATAATTTGAAAAAAAAAATCGCCAAATATTAAAATATTACAGAAATAACGCGATAGTAATATAAAAAATAAAAATTTTCACTTGTTCCATTAAAAGCCAAAAACCATATTATTTTTTATAAATATTATAATTAGGTACATTAAATTCTAAGAAAAAAAAAATTCTTAAAAATTTCATGATTTGTCTGTTGAAATTTATTTAAAAACAAAGTACAATTTATTTTATTGAAAATTGTAGCTTTGTTAGATTTTAATTTAAAACCTATTATTTATAAGAACACTTTCAATATATTTTGTACAATTGAAATTGAATGCAATTAATTTAAATTTCATTTTGATTTTAATTTTTTTTTTTTAACCTTTCAAAATTGTATAAATTACATTCGTCGTAATAAAATATGTATTTATAAAAAAGATAAGGTTCTACTTGGGCTACAACAAAAAAAAAAAAATATTTATCGAAACTAGAGATCAAAAATAAAATTTTCAATTAGGATATGGTAGTTATTATCATAATATTATAATAAATAAATAAATTAAATCTACGGGTTGGATTAACATTAAATTGTTGTTTTTATTAAGAAATAAATAAAGTTATACTATTTTAGCCTTTGTTAAATACGAGGAACAATTTATACTACAAGTCTCTTGGATTTCTTTTCTTATTTTGAAATTCGTTATAAAAACTCAATTCAGCATTTTATTTTTTCTCTGTGAAAAATATTAATTTAAAATCACTATTTATTTGTAAGCATATTGTTCTAGTTTATAAACCATTAGAAATTTAGCAATGATTGATAATGATTAAAAAACAATGAAATTATTATTTAAAATTTTCACATTGTTCAATTTTAAATTCACATTTAATTAAGTTCATAACAAAACATTAAGTTTATTTAAAAAAAAAATATTCTTAATTTTTATGATAATATAGAAGAAACAACGTTTAATATAAAACTTTTCCATTTAAATGTTAATGAAGTTATTAAAATTTCCTAAATATTGGAAACGATCTACAAAATAAATTAAACATATTATATTTTTATTATTGTGTGCTAATTATGTAAAAATTGATATTTTATTTTAATTTAATTAACTTTTAAATGAATTGAGAACATATTCCAAATACAATATTAATTTCGAAATTTCAATAGAATTTCTAATCAGTTCTCTAAAAATCTATTCTTACAAGAAAATATGTAGTTCTCTTCCTTCAGACACTAGGATACACTTGATTATTCTTAAAAATAGTACTGATTGAAATAATGAAATAGTACCGAGTTTTGTTTTTTAAATTAAGAATTCAAAATATTTGTTCTTTGAAAAGATTTAAAGTTGTAAAATTAATACAAAATTATAATAATAAAAATAAAAGGAAGTTTTTCTATTAAATTATTTCATATTAATTAATATAATACAATATAGACGATATAGTATAAAAATTAAAAAATATCCAGTGAAAATATGAATCACTTAAATACTTCACTGACGGCAGAAGTTAATCCCGATAATTAAAAGAAACTAAAAAAAAAAAAAAAACTAAATAATTAGCTATAAATCATCATAACGAGTAAGTAAAAACAGCAAAAGGAACAAAAAAGTATAAAAAAAAAATTCACATTTTTTCAATTTTAATTAATTATTTCAGCCAAATTGTAAGTATTTTAACAACACTTTGTTTTATTTAAAAGAAATATAAAATTATTTTAAAATAAATGATAATATTAATTAACATAAGAAAAAAAATTTTTGTCCCAATTGCAAAATCACAAAAAAAAAAAAAAAAAATCTAAATGATTCTGCCAACGTCATCATCAAATCTTCCTCCTCATTTAAGGCGATGCTTTTTAAAAAGTGAAAACAAAATGAATCCCAATCTTGAGATTTTGTTCAATATTTGGATGATGATTTGCGAGTTTATAATTTTACCAGAATATTTTTTTTTTTTCATTTTTTCAATTATATACTTATTTTTAAGATATGTAAATTATTTTATAAGTATTAAAAAACAAAATATATTTTTTTTTCTCTTAATATTAACCTAGATGTACTAATTTACCAAGCAAAAAAACAAAAAAAAGAAAAAATTAATATTAAAAATCCAATTGAAGATCAGAAAAACTGCACTTGTCTTTTTTTTTCTTTTCTTTTTTTTTTTATTTTTTATTTTGTTTGATACAACAACTTCATCATCCACCTCAACAATGTCAACAAACATATTACAAATTCACTTCTACAATAAATGTAAACAGAACAACAGCCCAATACTGTTATGAAAATTTAACTACAAATGAAATTCGTTGGGAATTTCCATCTACAAGTGATACAATAACTGAAACAAATAATTCTAGTGCCAAAGATAAAAATGATGAAGAAGTTGAAAATCTATTGACATCAAATAAAATGGAAGATCGTAAAATCATAAGCAATGATGATGTTAAAGGTGAAGTAGAGATGGATATAAGTACAACACCACCACCTAACGAAAATGAAAAAATAATTGGTATGCAAATAAAATAAATTTATTCATCAAAATTAATTTGTTTGCATATTATTGAAATTTAATATATAATTTTAAATTTTTGTTTTAGTACAACATACTTGGGATGCTGATAATGCACCACCACCACCAAGAATAACTGTAAGTTTTTTTTCGGAAACATAAGCTTTTAATACAATAATTCAGTTTTTTTTTCAAAATATTTATTTTATAATTAATAAAACCGATTTTACAATTTAGTCATTTACGCTTATACTTAGAACATTTGTATAAAAACCATATATAAATTATTATGTGTAAGGATTTATTAGACAAAAATTCCAAAGAATTTTGGTCAATATTATAATTATTTTTATATATACTAAATACTAAATACCAATATTTTTTATATTTTAATATTAAATTTGTAATATGTAATAATTTTAATGGCATTTTTTTGTTCTTTTTTTTTCTATTTTTAATATAGACCCCATCACCGCCTTCAATATCAACTTCAGTTATAATAAATGATGAACTGTCAGCATTTTATTCAGATATCGCTAAAATAAGTGCCGAATCATCAGAAACTAATAGTATGCAATCAACAACAAATACCCAAAGCAATAGTAATGTAATTGAAACAAATAACAATTCATTAAAAAGGACACCACCTAGAGAAATTAATGATCAGCAACAAATTGAAAAAAAGAAACGTAAAAAAGTTAAAGTTTCCGGTTTAAGTATGGGTGATAAAGGTGTTTCAGAAATGGTTGCAAAATGGCAAAAAGCACAACAACAAAAGGGATATAATTTTTGGTGAAATCAAAAACTACATATTTAAAAAAATTTAGAAAAGAAAAAAACAAACTTTTGTAAAATGTAAACTTATTATTAAGTTTCTATATATTATAATTACGGTAGGAATATTGGTTAAAAATAAAAAACACATAAGTTAATTATATTTTAGGTGAGTTTTTATTAATTCCATTACTCTAATCTTCTAAAAGTTCTGTGTTTCTGAAATATTATTGTTGTCACAAACAGAACATTAAAAACTTTTATTGGATTTTGGGTTTTATTATTCTAAAATATAGAATTCTAAAGACTTTTGATTACAAAACAAAAAAAAAAAAGTATATTAACAATCGCAAGTAAATTATTAAATTTTTTCAATATTACTATTTTTTTATAAATTGCATTTATTTTCCAAACCCTCCCATCAAATTACTTAATCCGCCAGCTGCACCTTGCTGTAGTTGCCTCATCATGTTTTGTAATCCATTTACACCGCCCATCTAAAAATTAAATTTTTATTATAACGATTAATTATTTTAACAATTATTTTAATTTTTATATAAAAGATTTTGTTAATTCATTTGATTTACCTGCTGCAACATTCTAGGATCAATCATTTTTGCCATTTGTTGATTTAATTTAGCCATTTGAGTTGGATTTACATTTTTAGTCATATCACCGGCTCTAAATAAACCTTTCACACCGCCCATTTTTTTAACAACAGCAGCGAATTTCGTGTAATGTGTTATTAAATCTTTAACTTCGCGCTCAGTTACACCAGAACCTTGTGCAACACGTATCGTTCTACTTGGCTGTTTACTAAAAAGTTTTGCTCCATCACGATTATCTAATTCACCATCCGTCATGCTATCCATTATTGTCATCATGCGTTTAATTCGAGCCATTGATTCTATTTCACCACCTTTCGTCATAAAATCTTGGGAAAACCCAGGAATCATACCCTAAAAATGATTTTAAATAAAATATTATATATATATATATATTTAATTGCAAATATTTAAACAAACATTACCATAATTTGGGAAAAAGGTCCCATTTTCATAATATTTTGAAATTGTTCATACATATCACGTATGGTGAATTGGCCATGTTTAATTTTCTCAAATAATTCTTCATTATCATCTAATTTTAATTCAGTTACTTTATCAATTAAACCTTCAATATCACCCATGCCTAGCAATTTGCTAACAAAAGGTTTTGTTTTAAATGGTTCTAAATCATCGATATGTTCTCCAGTACCAATAAATATAATGGGAGATTGGGTTGCTGCAACACTAAAAATTAATAAATAATTAGTAATTTTCCTGGTGGATATTTATAAATGTTTAATACGTACGCTGATAATGCACCGCCACCTTTCGCATGACCGTCTAATTTGGTAATAATAACTGAACCAATATCTACTTTTTCTTTAAAAGCTCTTGCTTGACCCTCACAGGCTTGACCAATTGTTGCATCCATTACGAAAACAATATTATCAGGTTTCTGGAAATAAAGAGTTGTATATGCTTAAATTGAAAGGTTTGCTGATATATTATGCTCGAATTAGTCACTACTTTAAAAGAAAATACGTATTTAATGGAACCAAAAAAAATTCTAATTTTCTTATAAAATTTGTGCATCTTTATAAGAGATGAGAGTTAATTTTGATGATAAACGTATCTTACAATCTTTCAAGAACTAAATCATCATGAAGTATTTTCCAATAATACTCTAGTTTGTACCTGTTGAATTTTAGTTACCATACATTTTTTATATTCTGCGATAATCTCTATAGGCAACAAAATTTATCGATTAGCAAACTTCTTTATTTTTCTATATAGAAAAGAAATTTCATTGTTGAATAATTAAAATTTAAAATAAAAATGGAACACATATTTAAAAGAGAAAGGAGAAATTTTGGACGTTACCATACGTTTGTTGACCATGACGAAGTTGTTTTCAGTGAACCGTCGAACCGGGAGTTATTTAGGCAATTTATACCAAAAAACCCAGTTGATATAACAACTCAACACACTTCACAAATGGCCATTAGTGAAGCTAACACGGATTGTGTTACATATAAGAATTGTGGCGTTTTTCATAACGAAGGTGGTTGGCCTAAGGACATTAATATGCAGGATCCTGAACAAACTGTTAGGTACATAATGGCACAAAATGTTTAAAACTATACTGCTATCGAAAATTTCCTTTTTCAAGATATAAACGCAAAATAGAAAAAGACGAAAACTATATTCAACAAATACTAGCTCTAACAAAACCAATGGAACATTACATATTTCAAAATAACGCAGTCAATATTTACGAAAATTATTTTGAAGATATGGAACCAGCTCCTTTGCTGGAACCCTGTCAATCAAGAACAGTTAATGTTTACCGGGACCCAAATCCCATAAAGGTTCCAGTTACCCATTTGTCATGGTCCCCAGACGGGGGTGTTAAACTAGCTATATCACATTGTGATATGACATTTCAAGGTGATAGAACTGGTCAATTAAGCAATTCTTACATTTGGGAAGTGGAAAACCCTAATCAACCTTTATTAACTTTGGAACCAAAATCTCAGTGTGTATGTCTGGAATATAATCAAAAGGATCCAACATCACTAGTAAGCGGGATGTATTCTGGGCAAGTAGCTGCATGGGACACAAGATCTGGAAAGTATCCAGTGATGATTACTGAGAATGAAGTGTGCCATCGGGAAGCAGTTAATTCCGTACTTTGGATTAATTCCAAAAGTGGAACCGAATTTTTTTCTGGAAGTTCTGATGGTCAGGTTATATGGTGGGACACAAGAAAATTAAATGAACCTTTAGATAGATTACTAATGGATCCAATGAAAACAGATGAACAAGATTTAAGTAGATCATATGGTGTTTCGGTACTTGAGTATGAAACAACCATTCCAACCCGATTTATGGTTGGAACCGAGATGGGAATGCTTTTTGCATGTAATCGAAAGGGAAAAACTCCAACAGAAAAAATTAGTTCTAGGGTATAAATGTACTTGAATTATAAAAATTGTTTTACCAGTTAATTTTACATTTAAGATGCCATGTCAATTAGGACCAGTGTATGCTATTATGAGAAACCCAGCTTTTGTGAAGAACTTTTTAACAGTTGGTGATTGGACTGCTAGAATATGGTCAGAAGATTGCAAAGAAAGTGCAATAATTTGGACTAAAAATCATGATTCCATTTTAACAGATGGCGGCTGGAGTTATACAAAGTATTAGAACCACTTAATTAATTCTTTTAAATTTAATGTGTTATTTTTAGAGTTTCGTTATTTTTTGTTACACGAATGGATGGTGTCCTTGACGCATGGGATATATTACAACAATTGAATGAACCTATATTAAGTATTAAAGTATGCGATGATCCTTTATTTTGCTTACGTACAAATGAAAATGGGAAGTTTGTAAGTTGTGGAAGTGAAAAAGGGGCAACATTCTTGATTGAAGTATCTGAAAACATGATTTTCAGTGCAAAAAATGATAAGCCCTTACTAACAGCGGTAATTTTTTCAATTTTTTTGACAAGGTTCGTTATTATTATCCGCAAATTTATTTACAAATGAAAAAAGATGTTTGAACGCGAAAACAGACGCGAAAAAATCCTTGAAGCAAAATCTAGAGAAATAAAATTGAAACAAAGCAAAACTGCTGTTCAAAATAATCAGGCACAAGAGAACATTGATGACAAATTTGCTGTGGAACCCTACAAAAGTAAATTGTATTTGAAATATTTTCGAAAATTTTTATCATTTTGTTCCTTTGAAAAGCTGCGTGTGAGCAGGCCGAGGTTGATTATTTTGCGGCTGTGGAACAAGAAAAATTACGAAGAATTGCAAAAGGAAACCGTAAAAACATTTTTAATATTTAATTTACATTTTTATATTAATATTTAAATTATTTTAGATGATCTGGACGAAAGTGAAATGTCCGAAGGAGAAAGTAGTAAAACTGAAAATGCTAATCCAAAAAGTTAAGTTTTATATTTGTTATTTATAGTGTTGTTAGTTTCTTGAAAATAAAATAATTGTTGAAAATAATTGATTAAATAATTCAGAATCCCATTAAAATTTTGATCGTTTTGAAAGACCATTATTACCGATTTAAATAGATTATTCAACATAATACAAATTTTACTTACAACTGCATTTGCTACTGCCAACATTTCTTCAAATAATGATTCTTCCTGTTTATGTCTACCACTGGTATCAACAATTATCATTTCAAATCCTTCTTTTTTAAACATGTCAACACCATCCTGTGCTATCACAACAGGGTCGACTTCTGTATAACTACCGTAAAATGGAATACGAGCCTTAGTTGCATTTTGTTTTATTTGATCGTAAGCACCAGCTCGAAAAGTATCCGCACACACTAAACATGATTTCCAATTCTTTTTTTGATAATGATAAGCTAATTTTGTACATGTTGTTGTTTTACCAGAACCTTGTAAACCTACAAACATAATGACGTTTGGTCTTCCTTTAACTGGCTGGTAAGGTTTAACTCCTGGATCAACCAACTAAAATTTTGTACTATACAATTAAATTTCTTTTTACTTATATTGAGTTTATGATTCTTACTTTTATTAACTCCTTAAATACAGCAGATTGAATCATCCGTCTTTTATTCAACCCGCCACCCATTTCTTCGAAATCAATAACAGAACGAACATTCTCTCTAAGTTCTTTTACTAAACGTATATTTACATCAGCTTCCAATAGAGCTGCACATATCTCTTTTAGCATAGAATTTAATACCTTTAAGTGTTATAGTTAAAATTAGCTTTATACTTCTTGTACCAATGTATGTAGTATATGCAATAGTAAAAACTTCATTCATACTCACATCTTCGTTTATTATAGTGGCCCTACTTAGAGAATGTAGGGCCGTTGTTATTTTACGGCCTAAGTCCGCTAAAACCATTTTTTATTTTCTTTCTAAAATGTTAATATATTTTATTAGTGGAAATTTTTTTCTTGATTTGCTCAACTAAATAAAAATAAATTTTTTTAAATGCCACTCGAACACGTCGATGTTTTTTTTTTCTTTTTTCTTGCTTATTGTAAGAAATAGAATGTCAATTGAATTGAAATGTCTTCAATTTGACATTTCGCTATTGAACCGTAAAGCCCAGACTGTACAAAATAGATTTAGAATTGTTGGCATGTCAACATGACAATTATAATAACAATTTGATATTTTTGTTATGGCAAGATTTATACTTAAAAAGTAGTTGCAATACGGCAAACAATAACTGCGATCCGCAATACTGCAAAAACATAAATTGATGTACATATATGTGTCAGACCAACAAAGCAAACCCCAAAAACTTTTTCTGGATAATTTTTCTGCAGATGTAATACGCGAAATATTCCCCATATGAAAGAATGGTCCAAATTGACAAGTATAATCCTCTTAGCCTAATAAACAGGGTTCACCCCCTTCTAAAGAACGTGATCAACACAATAGTTATATTATTCAAGATCTCCACTCGTATTACCAACTTCAGTCTTCATACTGACTCTATTTGAGAAATTTAAATAGCTTGATATTACTAATAAAAAAAAACCCACTTGTAGTTATTTGAGTATATGTATGTATGTGTGTAATTAGAAACAAATTCTCGTTTTAGTTCTAGGTATGTACATATATCTTTAAAAAACAGGCTGTAATTAATTTAAATAACATTTATAAAGCTTTATGATAAAAGTTATGCACTTAATGATATGGTACAATAGATTTTACATCAAATAGAGAAAAATAAATTTTTGTAATTAAATAGAAGATACAATATTCACAAAGTATGTATTTGTCTTTTAACGTTCAATGGGGATTTGAAAAAAAAGTTAATTTTGCTTATCAGCTAGTTGTCTTAATTGCTTTAAAACAGTTTCCCACAACTTTTTCTTATCACGTTCGCTTTTTTTCAATACTGAAAACATAGTTTTTTTGTCAGCTTCTCGTATTTTCTCCAAAATTATTATTATTGCAGATGGTTGAACTAAATTGTAACGATTATCCACCTTTCCATAATCATGTAAATATGTGCTCCATTCCTCCATTATAAGTAAATCAAGTAATTGCCTTATTTTCGCAAAATATCTTGATAGCTCACCTTCTTTGAAGCCAGGAACAGGTTCAGAAGCAGCAAAGAACTCACACTGCATTAAATCTAAGTTAATTTGCTGTAAAGCACCTGTTGAAATTTGTTTGATTTCGTTGGTCAATAGCATATCATAAATTTTATTTGCAATATGTTCACAGCTTCTTCTGCAAGCCGTTTGTGCAACGTTTGGCAAAAGGTATGCAAAGCTTTGAAATGTACTTTTTAGGAAAGATATCATATCAGTTACGAAAGCCGAAGCATTGCCGTGAGGTTCAATTAAAAGCCAATCATATTCGGATAAATCGAAAAACTCATCTAATTTCGAACAAATACGTTCAGAGACTTGTTTTTCTGCATCAGATCTCGCAACGTGAAACATAGCCGATGGAGCTTGACTAATACTTTGTTCAGTTCCTGTCATTTTGCAAACAAAATCATCTAAAAATGGCCCAGCTTTTTCTAAGTATTGAGTATCAATTATAATTTGAATTAACTGAAAAAATACCATTATGAATTAATACTATTAATTTGTAATCAGCATGCCTACCTGCATAAGCGCAACACTAGGATTTCTAAACACCGCTAATAAACATCCGCTAAAGCTTCTAGTTAATAAAAGATTGGCTGCTTTACGAACCATTGCAGCAACTTCTGTTGGAGACAAGGTTAGTTCCTCTGAAAATTTCATACATGCATACATAAACTCTTTCGCTTGATGATAAACTTCCGGTACCATTTTGGAAAATGGAAATGTTTTCGGGAATGGTTTGCTCTCAAGTACTTCAGAATGAAAAGGAAATCTTTCTATGACATCATCATACTCTTCCTGATCTTCAACTTCTAGTGGCAAAAAGTTTCCCTTATCAAGAATTTCTCTAAAAACATGCACCCATCTCTGTAACAGAACTTCATTATAATGGTCTCGCATGCCAACCAACATTTCTAATAAAGGATTCACAGAATAGCCATAGCTTTTGAGAGTACTTATGGAGAGCATAATCAAATTTTTTATTCGAAGTAAAATGTTAGGATCTGTACAGGAAGATGAACTCATGCTTAAATCGTTGACAATCCTTGTTAGTGATGTTGTCCATAATTCATCCAAATAAGATTTTGTAACTACATCTCCAGCTGTATTTTTCACATGGTCTTCCACCACAAAAAATCCCACAATTGAATAAATATAAGTTTTGTAAGCTTCTAAATTATCATGCATTCCTTGTGGTGGTTGCAAAACGAGCTTTGCTTGATCTTTTCTTTGTTGTCGGTAATCTTTTTCAAAATATTCTTTATCGTTTAGAACTGTATATATATGTAAGCAACGATAAACTGGGGAAAAGTCTATTAAATCCTGGACGCTTAGTTCTTCTTCATCCCCAGCATACTCAGTTCGATCTTGATTTTTAAAGTCTTCTATTATTTTAGATAAATTACGCTTTTGTAATTGTCTTGTATGTCGCATTGCGACTTCCCCAATTTTTGGAGAAAACTCACGAATATTTTCTAAAAACTCTCTAAAATCTGATTCCGAAGATTTTTTTATATTTTCTTTCAGTTTCGGAACGTTTTCTTTCATTTGAATTGCAAACCTGTAACTCGACACCTTTGGTAATAAATCATTTTCCAAACTTTCTAAAGTTTTTAAAGCTGGATAGTAACGTTTTTCCTTAACCTGTTCCAATAATTTTGTATAACACTCCAGAACTGGTAGGCAATTTGAGAGGCCATTGATAGCATTTGCAATATTACTTTCAATCTGACGTGCTCTAACCAGTTCTTTCCCTTTCGATAACACTCCTGCTGATGCTGTTTGCAAATCTACAAATGAGTTTTTTTGAATTGCTAGGTAGTAAATATAAAAATCTTATTAGTTTACCTGTATCTAGAGCTAAAACTTCCTCATTTAAATGTTTTGCTTGAGATCGCACTTGCAATAACTCCCTAATAGATTCTATGAATCCTTGATAATATAGATTGCATATTCTTTCAATATCTTTGTCATGACTTCTTATTCTTGAATCTAACTGTTCAGATAGTGAATCACAAGCATTACCTTAGAAAAAAAAAAACTTAATATTAATGAAAACACAATAATAGCTATATTAACCTTCTAAAATGGATCTAAATGTCGGCCCCCAATAATCATCTACAGCTTCTATATCTTGAACAGATATGTTAGCCATATCTGTAATTAAGCTTTTTTTCTAATTGAAATTTATGATTTCTTGAAAAGATACAAGATCTGCAATTATAGTATTTTATTACGTATTTACTATTCATAAATTTAAAAACCAAAGACAAAACTTAGCTACCCAAAATCCAATTATATGCAGTTCAATTATTTACAACAAATTTATACACGAAGTTACGAAGAACATAATAATATGAATTCATATGTCAAATGTGCTGCTGAGCATTTCTACTCATGTCATGAGTCATGACACAATTGCAAGCTACAATTTACAGATCTACATATTCAGTGTAGTTTACTTTTAAATACAGCAATCCCTCCTATAACGTAACCTCTTACTATATAATTTCGATATATGTAAATTTTATTTTTCCTACCTATTTTCACTTAATGTAATTTTTACCTCGTTTTACGTTGAACCTCCTATAATGTAATTTCACTTAACGTAAATATTTTTCGGTCCCAAAAATTACGTTATAGGAGGGAATGCTGTACATAATTTAGCGTATGTTGTGAATATTAATAAAGCTTTTATACATGTTCAATATTGAATGGTTAGATATTTAGAACAGCTTTTTTGTGTTTAAGTCGGGCAAAGAATAATATCAGACATTTTTTGTAAAATTTATTAATAAAATACATGTTAAAGATTTCAATATGCGGTTCAAATTTGTTCATTGTGAATTTCAAATTATTTCCCGTTGGAAGGAAATTCCAATAAAACATATTTCGAAAATGTCAAATTATTATATGTCAAAATCAGCTGCCAAAATCGTTGTTGACGTAATTCTTGTTTATCTATCAAATTTTACTTTATTCTGCAAAATTTTAAATTAATTTACTTGTTTTTTTTTTAATACTCAAAAAGAGCAGAATAATAATGAGAAATGTTAAGAAATTTTTACTATATTTATTAGTAACACTGTGCATTATATTTTATATATTGTTCCATATTGGAACTAGCAAAGACGATATAATTAAAATAATGCGAGATAGAGGAAAATCTAGTTTTATGCTTACAACACCAAGGTATGATTTTGAAGCAAAATTCTATATTGTTTACATTAGATTTTATTTTTAGCAAACCTATAATAACAATTGCGGCTGTAAGTTGCGGTGAAAGATTAAAGGAAACATTAAATATGTTAAAATCAGTTCTATTGTTTAACGTTAATGGCCCACATCTTAAATTTGTTATTGTAGCGGAAGAAAGTTTGCACATAGGGTTTCAAGAAAAACTAGGTGATTGGCAGGAGATTCTTCCAGGGCAATTTTCTTATGAACTTCATGACTTAAAATTCCCAATGGGAAAAGAGAAAGAATGGAAAAGTTTATTTAAACCATGTGCCGCGCAAAGACTTTTCCTACCAGTAAGTTTTCAATATTAAATATAAATTTCGGTATTTGATATTATTTAAAATTTTAGTCTTTGCTGCAAGATATCGACTCAGTATTATATTTGGATACGGATACAGTTTTTCTTTCTCCAGTTTCAGAAATTTGGAGCCTATTCAAAGATTTTAATGCAACTCAAATAGCTGGTCTTTCTCCTGAACATGAAGATAAAAATGTTGGATGGTACAACAGGTTTGCTCATCATCCTTATTATGGTGAATTAGGAGTTAATTCAGGTGTCATGTTAATGAATTTAACACGTATGAGAGATTTTCATTGGGAAGATCATATATTGCCAATTCATGATGAATACAAATTAAAAATTATATGGGGTGATCAAGATTTGATTAATATATTGTTTTATTTTCATCCAGGTAGGTAACTATTAAAAAAATAACCAATCAATTGACTATTATTGACTTTGCTTTTTTTTTAATAGAAAAGTTATATGTGTTTCCTTGCGAATTTAATTATCGTCCAGATCATTGTATGTATCAAAGTATTTGCAATGCGTCAAATGGTGTACGTATAATGCATGGAAATAGAGGATACTTTCATTCTGACAAACAACCATTATTTTCAGCTGTATATAGGGCTATAGAATCATATGAATTAGGTAAAGATCCGTATAAAAATTTTCTAATGAATCTTGAATCGGATTTGGAAGATGAAGTTGTTGTTAATTCAAACTGTGGTAAAGTCGAACAACAAGTGCTATTAAAAGCAAAAAAAATATTTGTTGCAAAAGATTATTATTATTATAATTAATATAAATTATAGCATTAATATTATTGCAAATTGTTGCAAAATGTGATTACCAATGCTTATTTCGATCGTAACGATTTAAACATATTTAAGAAGCTGATTTCCTTTGATTTCTCTGGACCTCGAATAAAATTTATATTATATTAAGCACAAATTTGGAAATTTAACTGCCAGCGTTTTACTAGTTTAATATTCAGTAAAAATGTTAATGGTGTGCAAATTTTTCCTATCCAAAATGCACTTTAATTATACTGTACTTGCCTTAGTGTATCAAAAATTAGATAAACCGTGATTATAAAATTTAGGTACTCATTATATTTCGGCTCGGATATTTATATTCATTAACCTATTTATTTAAATTATTTTGAATTCGCCATTCCAAAATATTTATAACATGATAATCACTAAAGACTGGAAGTCTTAACACAAATATTATTTAAAAGCTAAACATAAAGTCTTGAAATTTTGCCAATCAATATTATTAACTAAGAAAAACAAATAATAAACGTATGTATTAGATTTTAAGAAAACTTTTTATTTATGGTTTTTAATAATTCGTGTTGCCATTCAAATTCTACATTGGAAAATTTGTTAAAATTAAACTAAGATAATTAAAAAGTGTTTTATTTGATTTGTAAATTAAATTTGTAATTAAAATTTTAAATAAAAATTTTATAAGCTGTATTTTTAAAAACTCAATAATACGCATTATTATTTGGGTGCAAAAATTCCTAATAAAAATATGGAAAAAATTCAAACACAAAAAAATTTTTTGCACACTTTTATTTGAAAAATAAAAAAAAAGAAGGCTTATGACAAAATTAAGTAATTTAAAATTTAAAGTTTTATATTAAAATAAATAATTTATTTCATTTTTCTTTCCGTATGTTCAGCAATAGCTTGCAAGAAATCTTCAGTGTTCAAAAACATATTATCTTTAACATTTTTCATTCCATGAATACAAATAGCTAAATCTTTGGTCATTTTACCCGATTCAACACATTCTACACAAGCGCCCTCTAGTGCCTGTGCAAATTTTGCTAATTCTGGTGTATTATCCAATTTGGCACGATGCAATAAGCCTCTTGTCCATGCAAATATTGAGGCTATCGGGTTTGTTGATGTTGGAAGTCCTTTTTGATGTTGTCTAAATCAATAATATGGATTAGTTCTCAATGTTTATATTGTATTTTTTATATATTTTATACCTATAATGTCTTGTGACTGTACCATGAGCGGCTTCAGATTCAATTGTCTTGCCATCTGGACACATTAATACAGAAGTCATCATTCCTAAAGAACCATATCCTTGAGCTATAACATCTGATTGTACATCACCATCATAATTTTTACATGCCCATATGAAACCACCATCAGATTTTAACGTTTGTGCAACCATATCATCAATTAATCGATGTTCATACCAAATTTTATTCTTTTCAAATTCACTAACATATTCTCTAAAATTTAAGGTTTTATATTATTAATTATTTTTACATTTCATAATCATATTTTAAAATGATTTTTTTTACTTTTCATAAATTTCCTGAAAGATATCTTTAAAACGACCGTCATATCCTTTAAGAATTGTATTTTTTGTTGATAGATATAAAGGCCATTTTTTTTGTAAGGCAAGTTGGAATGATGAATGTGCAAATGAAGCAATCGAATCGTCTGTATTATACATTCCCATAACAACTCCAGAAGTCTTAAAATCAAATACTTCGTGTCTTTCTACTGAACCATCCGTTCCTTAAAAAAAAATCAAAAGTTAAACGTAAAATCACTATTTTAAGAAACACAAAAAAAAAACCTTTGAAAACTAATTCTACTTTTCCAGGTTTTTTGACAACAATATCCTTTGCTTTATATTGATCACCATGAGCATGACGACCGATAATTATTGGTTTTGTCCAACCAGGGACTAGTCTTGGAATGTTTTTACATAAAATTGGTTCTCTGAATACTGTACCGCCTAGTATATTACGAATTGTGCCATTTGGACTCAGCCACATTTTTTTTAATTTAAATTCTAAAATTTTAAATAAATATTTATAGAAATATTTAAGAATATAAATTAGGAAAAAGTAATAAGCAAAACCTTCTACACGAGCTTCATCTGGAGTAATTGTTGCACATTTAATACCAACGTTATGTTTTAAAATAGCATGCGCAGCATCAATCTAAATTATATTAAATAAATAAAAAATTTTAGTAATTATTTACATATGATTTAAAAGCAAAAATATAGTTTATTAAATGAAACTTACAGTGACTTGATCATTTGTTTGATCCCTGTAAGGTAATCCTAAATCATAGTACAAACTTTCAATCTAAAATATCAAATAGAAATGGAATGAATTTATTTAATAAATATTGTTTTTAAAAATTAAGTTGAATATTTAAATTAAATTTAATATTAAAATTAAAATCAATATTTATACCTTAACATATGGGAAAATAAGTTTATCTTTAATAAATGCCCAAATAATTCTGGTCATTTCATCACCATCCATTTCAACCACTGGATTTTTGGCCTCAATTCTCTTAGACGCATCTTCAAAATAGTAAAGAAATTTGATTTTTTTTTTTTAATTAAAATCGAAGAAAATTTATAATTTTGGAATATCTGATTTTTTAAATTTTTCTTTTGGAGAATCTTATACATTAGTAAGAGTAACAAAAATACATAATAGACCTATTTACTGGTGTATGTATTTAGTGTATACACAACTTATCTTTTATGCTTCCAACGATCCCTCTTACAAAAATAATATTTATTTGTGGGAGTAAATGCTGTGTAACCATTAATGTTTCCACGCTACGTTTATCTATTTATTTACACAACGCAAATACATACATACATATATACAATATAACATATTTAAAATAAAAGACGGCGCTTTTCAATAATTATGGCTTATTGATGTATGTAGGTACTATAAATCATGCCATCTATACTTTATAATAGAAAAAACCAGTAATAAAAAATTATAATGATTAGAACATGTGTGTGACCTTGATATTCAAATATTGAAATGTTCAACAAATAAAAACGAAAAAAACAAAAAAAAAAATAGTAGAATAGTAAAAAAATTTCTGCGAATCTTGAAAATTAGCATCTCTATTTAAAAATTCTAAGCGTACATTTTTATACAAGGTAGTTTTATTTATTTTTTTGATTTTCTTAGTAAATGTTGTGTAAAATTTATTCTAAGTTTATAATGTTAAAATTGTGCATCAAATATGTTTGCTTATATTTCAGACACTCGGGTAGAACATACCTAATTTTAGAACTAGGATTAGTCAACAAGCTTGCGAATATAATCTCTTATACCTACATAGGCAGTAAATTCCCTTATATTAGCGTTAGCTTAATAATAAATTCTATATGCATTTACTACTGTGTGTATGCATTTTCTATACATATTTGAAAAGGTTATTCAGAGCAGTTTTTTATTAATAAAATATTGAATGGATTTTAGCTTATCCTATAATTTTCAAACCATGCGAGCCATGTATATAGAATAATTAATTTACATTTTTTTTTTTAGATTTGTTTCCGCGTCAATTTAATTATCACTATATTTTTCAGTAACAATTATGTTTACTATTATTATGCAATACAATAATTATAAATATAATTATGTATGTATATATACATATACATATAATGTGTATAAGTACATAGAATCAAGAATTTGTTAAATTTATAATAACCTTTATGGAAATTCTACTTATTCAATTTAGCGTTTTCTTTTTCTTTTTGTTGGTAAATAATTTTTTTTTTTTTTGAATAAATAATATAATCAAAAGATCTTGAGCTTAAAAACAAGTGCCGTACATAATGATAAGAGAGATTAATAAATAATATAATGCTCAAATAGCAAATAGATTACGTCAAATGATAATAGACGTGTTTAGGTACATTACTTAACGTATTTTCAGTAACAATAACAATGAATGAAGTGTGGACCCGACTAATAATTTTTTTTTTTTTATTTATTGTCGTTCTAAATTTTGACTTGGACCCCTCCTCTATTCAATAATGTTAAATATTCTTTTTTTTCTTTTTTGGTTTACTAAGCATGTAATAGTAATCTTCATTTGTAAGCTAAGAGTGTTTTACTATAAACTTAAAATTGATTAATGTTTCTATATTTATATGATGTCTATAAAATATGATAGATATTGGGTGTCTACCAGAATGCAGATCTTAGAAACACCTAATTAAAAATACAACTTTAATTGCTGTGATAAGTAGATTAGTTTGAAACTATTGAATAATGAATACCTTAATACAGATTTTCCTATTTTTTTATGTAATAATAAGCAGCCTGAAAATATGCAATTATAAATGCACACTTGTGCACCATTATAATGCTGATAATTAATTAGAATATTTTCGGTAAAGTTGAAAAATTTTTAATTTCATTTTTAAAAATCTTAAAAATATAAATTTTTCAATAAGGGTCAAAATAATAAAAAAATAACACGTTATCAGAATCATTATAACCTAAAATATTGTTTTGCAATTTTTATAATTTGGCTGACATTTTCTTCAGAAATTTTTGTCAATTTTTTTTTTTATCAGTATTATAAATTTTTTTTGCTCTGCTTTTGACTACGATTCCGAAAAAATTCTAAAATTAAAAATTTTTTTTGTAATTGATTTAATGAACTTTTTTCTTTTGTACATTTTATCGTTGCCTTCACGTTTTTTTTTTTTATTGAATTGAAGGTTAAAAGTTCCGTTATCAGTCATTAGACATTTTTTTTACAATATAAATTAATTTTTCGTTTTTTCAAGGCAATTAGATTTTTTAATTATAAAAATTGTGCAGAGAGCTACTACACTAAGTATTCTAGATTTTAAATAAAAATTTTATTACGGTAAAACAGCTTATAAACGTAGTATGTACGAGTATTTACGTGATAAGAATTTCTTTAAAACTGTTCGAAATTTATATGCATTATTTATATGTGACCTATATATTTAATTAAATATTTATTACAACACTAATGTCATAAAATATACAATAGTTTTTAGGTAGAATTTTTAAGTTTTTTATTATTTTATTATTTTATGTAGTATATAATTCAATTTAAATGGATTGAATCAAGTTCAATTTACCGTAATTTTATTAGAGCAGTTATAGGACGTGCATTTATAAAAATTAAAATTGAGCTTTTTGAAATAAATTATATACTAGACTACATACATACAAATAATTAATGTTTACAAATAATTTTTATTAACCATTATATTGCAAGGAATCATAATCTTAAATTTAAATTTAACAAGTTTTCTATATTAACAATTAAACGATTCTCGCAATATATAAGAAATTGTTAATTATAGATTTACAAATCAGGGAAAATAATTTAAATTCTATAATCATAACATCGCGATTTTACATGATTAAAATTTTCAATTTAAATGTTGTATAACAGTATGGTTTAAAATATTTATATATATTATGTCTGTAACAATCTTTGTTGACTTTTTTGATCAAAATTATAATTTCCTATATTATTCGACTATACATATTCCTATATATATTTCCGATATAAGAGTATATTGAATACATAGTCTTATATAATAGTTTACGAGTTATAGTAATATGATAATTTTTGTATCGTAGTTTTTCATAAATTTATGTTGAACATATATATAAAGAATATATTTCTTCTGATTACTCAAATAATTTACCAATTTGTAATTGAAATTTTGAATTTTAATTGAAGACTAACATATTTTAAATCTTATTATTTAGAATTAACATAAAGTTCCTACAGTAGAGGGAATAATTATTAACCAATTTTGGGATTTCTTTTCAGGATACGGTTTCTTATCCTTTCTTTACAAATTATATAAATGTTTGTATAAGCAAATTCACAGTAATTTCTGTATATTTCTATACATACTAATATCGTATACATATATACCATCAATTTATCTATGTATGTATGCATGATAATCAAATATTTAACTTTTCTGGTATAATTTCAAGAACAAATTTAAGCCAAATTAAGGAAAAAAATTTTAATGCAAACATAAAATATCAAATAAAAAATTAATAAAATAATTAATACAATAATTTTTAATACTAAGTAAATCAAGTTAATTGACTTGTTTATAAGATTAAACTAGAATTATAAGTACAAGTTTTTTTATATATATTAATTTGCATATTTTAGAATGTTAAAATAATAATTATATTTCAATAAATTATACGAATATTTAATTCTGTATTTCGTAATAAATTGAGACATAAGAATTTTTGTATGATCTTAAAATTAAATAAGAATTGCTTTTTACAAGACAATCTTAATGAACTGTGTTGTCTTATCTTTGATAAAATTTTTATGAAATTATTATAAAATTTTGTAACAATACCTATAATATAAAGGATTATAAGTTGTGTGTGCGTCTACATATTTTCAAACTGGTTAGTAAATTATTTAAATTCAACCACTAAGGGTATATAATTAATACATGTTTACGTTAAAATTATTCATAAATGTTGTTATTATAGAACAAAATGGCAGCAAATACATGCTTCGTATAATAATATGTCAAACTAAAAAAAACATTGGTTCTACTGTCTATGGAAATCAATAGACAAAAAACATTTCACGTAATTACCAGATTCTATAAAGACACGTGAACTTGTTCTATATGTATATACGTATAAAAAAAAATTACATGTCAGCAATAGATTCATATATATATCTACATTAATAGTTATTTATTACCATGGAGCTGTAATCCAAATGCCGATTTATTAAGATAGTTTTAATAATGATCATGCTTCTGACTTTCTAATTTAAATCTTAGATTCATGAAATTATAAAATCTATATGATAAAAAGTTTTACAATTGAGTCGATCTTAACTAAATCGAGCTCTAATTATAACTGAAAAATGCCTGTTGAATAAATATCTGTGTAATATTAATTAAATAATTTGTATTTTTCAGATGAAGCGGGACAAACTAGGTTTCAATTATTGAACTAGATTGTTTTATAAATTTTTTTTGAAACAAAATTATTATATATGAACACGTTGAAATTCTTTATCACAGTTTAAAACATTAAAATTAACAATATATTTTTAATCTATATATAACACGTATATATTATTCAATTATTATATATATATTTGACAGAAATTAAATTTGTTAAATAGAATAATTAATTAATATTATTTAAGTTCACAAAAATCTTGATTAAAAACAACATCAATAAATCATAATATAATGGAAGCTTAACGATAATATTCATAATTAGATTACTATTATAACTATATATGTATATAGTAATATATAATTGAGATAAATATAATATTATAAAATTTTTTTTTGTTTCGATTTTAATTTTATTTAAAATTTATTCAATTATAATCGCAATTAATATTTACTACACCATGTCATTAATAATAAATCAAGTATCCAAATGAAAGAAAAAACAAAAAAATTAATTGCAGAACAGGAAATGAGCACCAATATCCTATGTTATATACTATATGTATATCATTTACATACATATACATATA